ATGGTTATATTGGATGATGCTATTAGAACTCTAATATCATTATTCAATAATATGTAATCATAGGAATATAAAATAATTTTGAATAGTATATATACATATATACATATATATATATATAAAATTAAGTCGCTTTAAATTTTTATATAATCTATAACCACACATATCTGTTTAAACTTGTTGTTAAATGCTGCGCGAACTTCAAGAACCAATTTAACAAATAAGGAAGTTGAGGATATAATTGCAATATGGCTAATTTTAGCCAAGCAGAGATTTGACCGAGATTTGTAAGTTATATATAATATACCTCAATTTAACTATTTTATCATCTTATCTCAAACTTTTTATTTTTATAAGAAACTGATTTTAAAGAGGGTGAACACATGCACTATCTGTTCATTATTGCGTGTATTAGTTTTTTTAAATTAAATACAACATTTAAGAACTTATTGTTATTTTTGTATAGAATATTTATTGCAGAATTGACTTATTGCACCTATGTATAACAATCACATATTTCTTTTTAGGAAAAAGGAAGAACAAAAAAAGAGATGCGAAAATGAGGAGATCTAAACAAGAAAAGGACAGGTTATTAAATATAATAATTTTAATATATAATAAATAAAATATTTGAACGTTTATTATTACGTTTTGTTCAGGAATAAGCCTGATCCTAAAGTATAGGTCGTTCAATTCTCCGTTTATTATCATTCGACATCTCAGTAATTATTCGCGCCAACGCGGGACAACACGTCAAACGCACATGTGATCCACGTGTTACTCGCCTGTCTTTTCCTTTGCTCGACGCGAATCGCCTGCGCAAATCCCCAAAATTCTCGCTTCGCGCCTTGGCTACGTGTCTCGGATCATTATTGAGCGTCCAGCCACGAGACGAGATAGATCAATACACCTTTTGTTGAAATATCGTCCGCCTCGTTTCTAACACTCTTGTTATAATTTGTGATTTGAATAAAAGTATATTAAAACGAATCCGCGAGTGACCATTAACAAAAACTACCGCCTTGGCGTGCGAACCTTCTATACAAGGTTTTACCAACGAGAAACAAAACATTTTGGTCCTTCGAGCCGGATCGTCGCCAAGGACAATTATTGGCATTCCGAATCACGATCGTCGATATGAACACCTCGACATCTTTCGAAGAGCTTTTGGCTCTGCAAACACAGAAGATGAGTTTCGTATCACGGGCGCTCATCAATTACAAGAAGCTGGGGCAAGCCAAAATGACACCTGCGGTGACACGTCAACGTCTCGTCACCTTGAAGGAAGCCTTTGCCACTTGCCAGGAGCTCGACAGTCGAATCGGGCTTCATGCGGACGATGACGACAAAGCATCGCATACCTACTTCACAAAGAATTCGTTTCTGGAATGTGAGGACTGCTACAACGAGGCTGCCGACTACATGGCTGAGGTATTAGAGAGCTACGAATCCCGCATCCCTCCCGCTACATCATCACAAAACGTAAGTGGCTTGCATGATGTTTTCCGACCCGCGTCGCATCTTCCGAGGATCAACCTACCGACCTTCGACGGGAGCATCGACAAGTGGGAAAGCTTTCGCGATAAATTCCAATCGATGATTCATAATGATCCTAGTTTGTCAAATGTCGATCGCTTACATTATTTATGCTCATGTGTAAAAGGGGATGCAAGTAACGCGCTTGACCACCTCGCGGTAACCAATAATAATTTCGACGTCGCGTGGAGAATTCTAGTCTCTCGGTACGACAACAAACGTCGTCTTGTTACAACGCATTTACAATCGCTGTTAAATTTGCCGTTACTGACCACAGAAACCGCTCATGACCTTCGTCAGCTTCGCGACCAAACAAACAAAGCAATCCAAGCGCTTAGAAATCTCAACCGTCCTGTCGAACATTGGGATGATTTGCTTGTTTTGCTCGTCGCACAAAAACTCGATAAATACTCGCGTAAAGCTTGGGAACTCAAGCTCGGCGATACGGTGGAATATCCGCGTTATAATGAGCTCGATCAATTTCTTGAGTCTCGAATTCGCGCTCTCGAGGCGATCGTACCACTTTCTAAAGAAAAGCCATCCTCTACCTCTAAAGGAAAAATTCTTGTGTCGCATACCGCGTCCACCGTTTCGTTCGCATGTCCGTTGTGCAAGGCCAATCATTTATTATACCAATGTTCGACATTTTTAAAGCAAACACCCTCTCAACGTTTCGATTTTATTAAGCAGCGAAAACGATGTTTAAACTGTTTTAGTAGTAAGCATTCCGTCAAAGATTGTTCGAATTCGCGCGTATGCCGCCAGTGTAATAAACGTCATCACACGTTATTACATTTCGATAGCTCGACTCCGCCGGTGCAAACGGAGTCACCGCCAGCAACAAGCGCAAATGTAAACGAAGTCATGTCGCATTTACTATCGAAAACCGTCGCGCCTAATTCTAATATTTTGCTTGCGACTGCCCGGGTGAGAGTCTATTCGCCTGTTGGACGTTTTATAACTGCACGCGCACTGCTGGATCAAGGTTCCGTTTCGACGTTTATTACCGAATCGCTCGCGCAACGTTTACGACTCTCTAAAATAAATCGTTCGATTTTCGTCACCGGCATCAGCGAGATGCAATCTGTTGTCCGTCACGCCGCTCATCTTACAATTACGCCGGCGAATCGCGACGAACTCGCTTATTCAACGACCGCACTCATTCTTCGATCGTTGACAAAATATGTACCGAATCGAATAAGCACGACGGGTACGTGGAACCACGTCGACGGACTCCAATTAGCGGATAGTGACCCCATGAGTACCGACCCGATTGATATGATAATCGGAGCGGATTTATACGGCATGCTCGTACTCGATGGTGTTCGACAAGGTTCCGAAACGGAGCCCACCGCGCAAAATACTACTCTCGGTTGGATTTTGTCCGGGCCAATCGCTTCGTCCCCGACCAATCTTTCGATTTTTGAGACCGCGCATCACGGAGTCGTCCTTGAAGCGTTAGATTTCGACCTTCGTCGTTTCTGGGAGACTGAAGAGGTCCCTCAGACCCAACACCATAGCCCTGACGAGCGCAAGTGTGAAGAGCACTTTCTCGCTACCCATTCCCGCACTCCTCAAGGACGCTATATTGTTAGATTACCGTTTAAAACCGGACCACCACTCTCGTTAGGAGAATCTCGCTTCATTGCCGAATCGAGCCTCTATCGCTTAGAGCGACGTTTCAAACGCAATCCATCTATCGCTTCAGAATACCACGACTTTCTCACGGAATACGAAAACCTTGGTCATATGATCAAAATTCCACCGACAGAAATTGTACAACCGGATCAAAGTTATTACATACCGCATCATGCTGTCTTACGTGACAGTAGTGCAACTACTCGACTGCGGGTTGTTTTTAATGCATCCTGCCGTACCACTAACGGAACCTCGTTAAACGATAATATGTTTATCGGACCTAAACTTCAAAAGGATTTGGCCGCTGTCATAATGCAGTGGCGCCAATATCGTTACGTATTTACCGCCGATATCGCCAAAATGTATCGTCAAATTTTAGTTGACTTCCGCGATACTGATTACCAGCGCATTCTATGGCGCTCTTCTCCCAGCGAACCTGTTCGCGACTACCGTCTTCTTACCGTGACGTACGGCACTGCCGCCGCTCCGTATCTCGCTCTTCGAGTGCTAGACCAACTCGCTGAAGATGACGGTGCTCAATTTCCGTTGGCCGTCCCTGTTCTACGTCATCAAACATACGTTGATGATTGCGCGTTCGGAGCCGACGATCATATCCTTGCACGGCAAACACGAGACCAATTAATCGCGCTTCTCGCTAAAGGAGGCTTTCGCCTACGAAAGTGGGCAAGTAATTCTCCAGATCTTTTGTCAGACCTCGATCCTGCCGATCATGGACTAGCCACTCACAAAGTCCTCCAAGACGATGAACACCTTAAAGTGTTAGGAGTTAGTTGGAATCCAAAGCTCGATGCGTTTCAACGTCGCGTATCTCTCCCGTCTTCGCCGGGAAAAACGAAAAGAGCTATTCTCTCGACAATCGCTGGGTTTTTCGATCCGATGGGATGGGCCGCTCCCGTCATCATCGGTGCAAAGATCTTTATGCAACGATTGTGGTCGATCCAATGTCAGTGGGACGACGACATTCCGGGTGAACATTTCGACCACTGGGCAACTTATCATCACCAACTACCGCATCTCGAGACGCTCAGTATTCCGCGTTGGACGACGCACGGATCTCATACTCTGCACAGCGCACTCCATGGCTTTTCCGATGCCTCAACTATGGCTTTCGCAGCCGTTGTTTACCTTCGCGTTGTTAATGTCGACGGCTCAATTAACATCTCTCTTCTCATCGCAAAATCGAAAGTGGCTCCCCTCAAGACGATAAGCGTTCCCCGATTGGAATTGTCGGCGGCGCTCCTTCTCGCTCGGTTAGTTAATTATGTGCGGTCCGCTCTTCAACTTCCGAGTATCGAATGTCACTGTTGGACCGACTCAACCATCACACTCGCTTGGCTAAGTCAGTCTCCATCTCGATGGAAAACTTTCGTTGCCAATCGCGTTTCGATCATTCAGTCCTTGCTGCCTGAAGTTTCTTGGCGTCATGTTCCAACGCAGGACAATCCTGCCGATTGTGCTTCTCGCGGTCTAGCTCCCCATGCTCTCGCAAATTATAATTTATGGTGGTCAGGTCCTTCATGGCTTTGCCAATCTCCAGAATCCTGGCCGACTTGCGAGCTCTCGATACCAGCCGAGACCGCCCTTGAACAGCGTTCTCAACCACCTATTCATTTTTACATGTAACCCCTAGTTGGGATCTCGCATCACGTTATTCTTCGTGGCCTCGATTGCTCCGAATTACCGCTTATCTTTACCGTTTTCTTTATCGACTCCGATCCTCTAAAAGCGCATCGTCTTCACAAGCGATCCTCCATCCCGAAGAGATCCAGAAAGCCAAACATTACTGGCTCCGAGTTATGCAATCCGAGATGTTTTCCGTTGAAATCTCGACTTTACAACGGCAACTTCCGTTACAAAAAACTAGTTCCTTATCCACACTCAATCCTTATTTGGACGCTGACGGACTTCTTCGCATCAGAGGACGGCTCCGTCATGCTTGCCTTTCAGAAACGACGAAGAATCCGCTCGTATTACGAGCACATCCATTGCTAGTTCTTATTATTCAGCATCATCATCTCAGAACGTTACATGCTGGTCCCCAATTAACACTCGCTTCATTACGTAATGAATTTTGGATCCTCCGATCTCGCGCTACCGTTCGTGCTGTTCTGTATCAGTGCGTACAATGCACTCGTGAGCGCGCTAAAAAACCTGTCGAACTCATGGGCGATCTACCGGAGGCGAGAGTTAACCGTGCCGCTCGCGCATTTATACATACTGGCGTTGATTACGCTGGACCAATCACTGTCCGAACCGCGCCCGGCCGAGGACACAAATCGCAAAAGGCTTACATTGCGCTGTTCATATGTTTAACGACCAAGGCTATGCATTTAGAACTTGTTTCCGATTACAGCTCGCCGACCTTTATTGCAGCGTACCAGCGATTTGTCTCCCGCCGAGGACTACCGCAGTCCATGTACTCAGACAACGGTACAACATTTCATGGCGCTAATCGAGAATTATCCGAAGCTCACGCGAAAGCAATTCGCGATCCAAGCTTTCGTAATCGTCTCGCTAGCGATGGAACCGCGTGGCAGTTCCTACCCCCGGCCGCACCACATTTCGGCGGACTGTGGGAAGCCGGTGTCAAGAGCGTCAAATACCACATAAAGCGTTGCATCGGCCTCCATACATTAACTTTTGAAGAAATGACCACGTTTCTTTGTCGCATTGAAGCTTGCTTAAACTCTCGTCCGATCGCTCCCGTCTCCGATAATCCTGACGATTATCACGCGTTAACGCCTGGTCATTTCTTGATCGGTACCTCTCTTCTCGCTCCCGCCGAACCAAGCGTGCTTGAATTTAACGAGAATCGATTGTCGCGTTGGCAAATGATTCAACGTCTGACGGAAGAGTTTTGGCGGTCCTGGTCAAGCGATTACTTGCATTCTCTTCAACAACGCCCAAAATGGCGCGTTATCCAGCGACTTGCCAAAGTTGGCCAAATAGTCTTAGTGCGTAATCCCTTGGCTCCGCCCAGCCATTGGGACCTTGGACGAATTGTCGCCTGTCATCCAGGAGAAGATGGCCTGACGCGCGTTGTCACGGTCAAAACCTCCCGTTCTGAATATAAACGACCGATCGTGAAACTATGCTTCTTGCCTGTTGCGATTAATACCGAAGAAGTAAAAGATTCTGTTATGGCGGGCGGAATCTCGTCTTAATATGCGCTAACACCCCGTTCTTTGTTATTGAAGTATCTACGAGATACTGATATTCTTTGTACAGCGTTTATTCCATTATGTTTTCTATTATTGTTAAACCATTTGTATTTTTTTTTCGAATGCCTACATTCGAGGCGGGCGGTATGTTCAGGAATAAGCCTGATCCTAAAGTATAGGTTGTTCAATTCTCCGTTTATTATCATTCGACATCTCAGTAATTATTCGCGCCAACGCGGGACAACACGTCAAACGCACATGTGATCCACGTGTTACTCGCCTGTCTTTTCCTTTGCTCGACGCGAATCGCCTGCGCAAATCCCCAAAATTCTCGCTTCGCGCCTTGGCTACGTGTCTCGGATCATTATTGAGCGTCCAGCCACGAGACGAGATAGATCAATACACCTTTTGTTGAAATATCGTCCGCCTCGTTTCTAACACTCTTGTTATAATTTGTGATTTGAATAAAAGTATATTAAAACGAATCCGCGAGTGACCATTAACAAAAACTACCGCCTTGGCGTGCGAACCTTCTATACAAGGTTTTACCAACGAGAAACAAAACACGTTTATTGCACAGTTTATTATTATTACGTTTATTTATAGATTTTATAGAGTTTATTTTTGCATATGTACTTTTTTTATTTTGAATGTATTAATTTCATACACAGTAATTATATATATATTTTATTATTTAAATGGTTACAGTATTAAATACATATGCATAGTTGTAAGTGCAATAAAGTAATTATTAAATATTATTTTTTAAATATAGTATAAAACGAGAAAAGTTATAATAATATATACAGTTGAATATTAAAGTAATTAAAGTTCTAAGTATTTTAGTACTTTTATGCGTAGCTGTAGCATAAAAAATTAACAATCACTATGTTTATTTTATTAATGCCTATATATTAAAAAGTTATGCACATTTAAGTTTTCTAACAATTGTATCAATTTTTTTTCATAATTCTGATAAAATGATAACTAGAATTTAAAAAAAATTACTTTAAAAATGATTTATTATAAGTATTAATTATATATGTTAGTGATATAGTTATTAAATATGATTAAATGATGTGATTTAACGTGAATGTGTATTAAATGATAGTTACACACCCACACACACGTACATATATAATAATATGGCTTATTTAATATAAAAAACTGTTAATCTCGGCTCGAATTATTGTGTTACAATAAAAATAAATTCTCGACGGCAATCGGAGCCTGTGCGGATGACATGCACAAAATTAATAAATTAAAATGAGATCTCAAATCAAACTCATTTATTAAATTCTAAACGTTTCGACCCACTTCGGGTCTTCTTCAGTAGCTGCAAAATACAAAGAAACAAAAATAAAAGATAATCGGTACAATCAGAAAATTATAAAACTCGTATACATACAATCCGCAAATAAATTAAATATCATTCTCCTCCCTATTCAAACCGTCCGGCCGTCGGAGTGTCTCCCTAACGGTGACCATCGTCAGGAAGGAAGCAGAGCAGTGACTCCCTTACCAACACTAATCAACATAGTATAAATTAAACGTATAAGATCCACAAGAATTATAAATTAAAAACCGGGAAGAACACTCACCCCGACAGCAAAAACAGAGAGAAGACGATGCTACACGTGACACATCACTCTAACGACTGTGCGGTATTCTACCTCGACACAGTCGATACATATATACGCAAAAAAAACAAATATAAAAATAAAATATGAAAATAAATATAAAAACAAATAATACTTATCGGCACTCATGTCAAAGGTCTAACGAAAAAATCCGGTTATGTATAGTCACAAAGCTAGATTTTGGTAAATTTTTCGATTAACAGATCAAAATTCTCGTTTAATTTGTCGGTGTCGCTATGTAAATTTAAACTATTCTTCTGACGCTTTATGTGGATCATTTCGGATATCAAACGTTTACCTAAAAAAGGCTCCTCGTCCAAGATTTTTACATCCTCCCAATTAAATTCATGGTTCAATAATCTATGTTCCGATATGACTGATAATTGTGACGCGTTTCTTTTTATGTTGCTGCGATGTTCTTTCATCCTAGTTTTCAACAATCTACCCGTCTGCCCTACATACGACGCATCACAATCCATACAATCAATTTTATAAACTACATTATTATGGAGTTCCCTTGGTAACTTATCCTTGTGTACTTTGATGAATTTACGGAGACTGTTAATTGCTGTATAGGATGGAATGACATCCAAATCACGTGTAATGTCCTCGATTCTCTTCGATACATTATTGATATACGGAATATTAAAGTACGAAACTTTTTTCTGCGTTGGAATCTTGTCATTGCATATATTTGCTCTATTGTTATGCAACTTATTATTGTACCGGAAGAACAACTTTTTTAACCGCGCTTGTAATGTTTGAAATATCAATTTGAGAGGATAATTATTAGACAAAAGAACTCCAATCATAGACTCAAAATTATCTTTATGGAATTTCGGATGAGATAGCCAAAAAACTCTATCTATGAGGCTGATAATGGTGCCTTTTTTATGGCAGAGAGGATGCTGCGACTCAAAATTTAAATATCTGCCTGAATACGTCGGCTTATGAAACAAATCAAACTCAATGCTCCCATTATTTATAATAATAGTGACGTCTAAAAAATTCAATCGGTTGTCAACCCCCTCCTCCATGGTGAACTGCAATCTAGGATGGAAAGAATTGAAAGTGTTTAAAACAATTTTAAGCATGGAGGGAGGGGCCGCCAACGCGATATCGTCAACATATCTAAAATAAAATGGAAATGACATTGGAATCGCAGCAATCGCTCTATTCTCCAAATCTTGCAACGTGATATCCGCAATGATCGGTGAGAGAGGGGAACCCATAGGCGTGCCAAAAGTCTGTTGATAACATACATTATTAAACATAAAATAAGTCGAATTCATAATAAAACGAATTGCCAATAAAAATTCATCTCGTGGAATAATACACTCTTTTTCAATATACCCCCATCTGTTAATTAAACTATCGATAGCCATATCCAATGGTACGTTGGTGAACAATGATGCAACATCTAGTGAAACTAGCTTCACATCACTATCCACACATAAACCATTTAATTTGTTCACTAATTGGAAACTATCAGAAATAGCCGAATCAGGTTTCGGAATTGCCTTATGTATTATCTTATGTAAAAATTTTGCCAAGTAATAAAGAGGTGTATTCCTAGATGACACGATGACACGTAAAGGGCAATTCGGTTTATGCACCTTCGGCAGACCATACGCTCTCGGTAAAACCCCGTCCGTGCAGTTCAGGGATTTATATGTTGTTGAAGAAATGTAATTCTTCATTTTCCATCTATTTAAAATCCCGTGTAATTGATTAATTAGGTTCCTAGTCGGATCTTTTTTAACAACAGTATAAGTATCCCGGTCAGCCAGCAAATCACACATTTTGTCCATGTACATATCTCTGTTCATCGCAACCGTGATATTACCCTTATCCGCCTTCATAAATAAAATATCGGGATTATCTTGGATGAATTTACCCGTCAATTTGTAAGCCTTACAAAAACTATTTTTTGTGTGAGCTTTTCCAGACATGGAAATATGGAATTTATTTATTATGGGAAAGGCTCTATTTCTGACTGCAGATCGTTTTTCCACAGGGAGTTTAAAAATATTTTGTTCTATATTTTTCAACAACTCTATGGTGGTTTTATCTTTGTCAAATACTGGCAGACAGAAGTTTTCTCCTAACCGCAACAAATCTCGAATTTCACACGGTATCGATACGGATGATAAAATATGGCTTATATTTTTTGAAACGTATATATGTATTATTTAAAAAATAAAAATGTAATTAAATAAATTACATTTATTTGAAAGAAAAACGTAGAGGAGACAAGGGTTGATTGTAACACGAGTAAAAAGTAATAATCTTTAAAATTAATGAAAAACATATTTTATAGCAGCACTAAAAAGAGATAAATGCTCGGTAAACTTGTATTGAACGTTTATCTCTCCTTTTAGCACTGCTATAGCACTGCTATGAATTTAATTTTAAATATTGGTACTTTTACTCGTATTAAAACCAATCTTTGTCTCTCTTATATAAAACTCTTTTATGACGTATAAATTATATCACTATAACATTCTATTTTCTATTACAATGATGTCATAATGACATCACATCTGTATAAATTACATCACTGTAACATACCATTCCTATCACAATGATGTCATAGTGATATCACATCTGTATAAATTACATCGCTATAACATTCCATTTCTTATCACAATGATGTCATGATGACATCACATCTGTTACGAAGCGGACATTCGCACGTCACTATGACATCACTGTGATTTTATTTTGACATATTTTATCGTCACAGAGCAATGTCTTTGTGACATCACTGTGACATTTTTTGCTATATGGGTATATATCTTTGTAACTAAGCTTTAAATTAAAATTTTATTAAAGTAAACTCCACTTGAAATTAACTGAAGAATATAATTATGTTAACCATTTAACTCTACAAAGTTTAGTTTGCGAGAAACTCGTTTTTTTCAATCGCTTTAACTCGAAAATTATCGACTTCTCAACATTTTCGCTGAGGAAAAATGATTTCCAAATTGGCCAGAGAATTCGGTATTATATGTCATATATGTTTATTTAGTTACACCCAGTATATATATATATATATATATATATATATACATATACAGGGTGTAACTAAATAAATCACACGCACACGTACTTACGAGTATGCGCGCGCGCACACGCACACTTATACACACATACACATGTTTATATATATATATATAAACATGTATATGTGTGTATAAGTGTGCGTATAAGTGCGCGCGCGCGCGCGCATACTCGTAAGTACGTGTGCGTGTGCGTGTGCGTGCGTGTGTGTGTGTGTGTGCGCGCGCGTGTGCGTGTGCGTGTGTGTGTGTATGTGTATAAATTGAAAGGATTCTATCAGGTATAGATGAAATTTAAATA